AATTATTGTTTTTAAAACATCATTGTGTTGGCTTTTTTAATACCAATTCATTTATTTAAGAAATATATTTAAGAGTTTTCACACGGATAATTATTTTCGTATCTACCGAAACATGATTATAATTTTTTTCTCTTAATAATTGAACATTTGGAATAAGTTATCGTAATGGGTGGGCCATTTGTTAGTTTCTTTTTGAAGTGCGTGTTATTTTCACATTAACAACACTGACGCGCCTGACATATTGACAGGTATATAGTGTCAAACCTCCGGTTTAAGAAAAAAAAAGTTTTTTACAATTGAACAACGCTGGGAAATATTGAAAAATTATTTTCAAAGTGAGAGCTGTGTTGCAAAAACTGTGCGAAAGTTGAGATAAATTTTTGGTCGAAATGCGATTTGACGCCGTTGGACAATTTTTTATGGAAAATTGTTGAAGACCGTTGTTACTCCAACGATCCACAAACCATTGACGCACTTGAAGAAGACATCCATCGAGCTATTCGTGAAATAGAGACAAATAATCGACAATCTATTGCAAAATTAGGCTACTGCCAAGCCAGCCGCCGCAGTCATTTAACTTAAATAGTTCTTCCTAAATAATCGGAAGGTGTACTCTCTTGAACAAAGCAACGATTATTCAAAAATATTCAACAGTGTAGATTTAATCACAATCTTAAAAAGAAACCAACAGATGGCCCACCCTATACTATATGACCAAGGCCATCTGAATCAAAAAGCTGCGCTTATAAGGCCGTTTCAGTTTTCGATTTTTCCATATAAACTTTGTTTCTGTGACATTTCGGGCGTCAGTACCTTATTGCGCTCCATCTACCGATTTCGATCACAGTCGATTGAGACTTTTTATTTTTAGGTTAAGTGCTTAAATCATCAATTAAAACATGAATGCTATAACATATACAGGATCCGTGCTTATTTTAGGTACATTCTGGACTAGCAAAATACTTATAAATTAGAATTGCAAAAAAAACATGAAATCGTAACACGAGGTAGGTTAGAACAATTTATAACTTCAATATTTTTCTGCAAAGTGGTTTGTTTGTTGAGTAATCCGTAATTTATGTAGTTAGTGTCTTTAATATAACAAATACAAAGTAAAAGGCTGTCCTTATAATTGTCTGCATAAATTTGCTTACCGCAAAACATTTCTAAAGTTTGGCACCATTTTTGCATATTACTTGAAATATCAAATAAGCGAACATCTTTTGCCCCACAAATGAAACACGGTTTTTACCATTTTATACTATTATTTTGTAAAATTGAAGGGTATTGTTTTAAATTGCCGCCAATGTTTATAAATTGAACTGCTGTTAATTTAATATTGTAGCTTTGATTCGTTAATCGACCACCGAGGGCGCACAATAAGGTCCTGTTTTTTTTTGTTTTTATGGCCACTCTGCAGAAACAGTTATATGGAGAATGAAACAGCCTTATAAGCGTAGCTTTTTGATTCAGATGGCCTTGTATATGACTTACGACAAGTGAGCTAAAGTATAACTATAAAATTTAAGAAAGACAGGTTTTATAATATCAACATGTATGTAACGTATGAGCTACGGAATTTTGTTTCAGAGTTATAAGTATAAGTCATGTGTAATTTTTATCCTTTAAACTAGTTCATTGCAACTGTCATTTTTTGACACACCTTGAAAACATCACTTTTCTGAGACAATTTATTGGAGATCGTGTCATTATTTTAAATCACGATGTAGTGATGGTGATTCGACTCTAAGAGCTGTCTGACACGAGACTAATTTCAGTACTGAATTTAGTACTGAAATTGCACCCGCAATTTTAGTTAGCTTGGATGCAAGAAAATAGAGCATGTTCTAATTTCTTGGATGAAAGCTTGCTAAAACTGCGCATTAGAAACGCGCATTGACTAAAAACGTAAATTTAAAATATTTGAATGTAAAAAGAGAAATATAATAATTACCAGGCTTTTGTCTAAAACTAGAAAAATGTTCAAGGGTAATTTTTTGAAATTGTGTTTATGCTACCACGCCCTGTTATCAAAATATTCCCTCACAATATTATAAATTTTAAAAATCAACAATTTATTACAAAAATCTGGTATAATTTGTTATTGTTTTCAGATCGACAGTTTATCTTCAAAATTCATTGTGTATTAATTATTTACTTTAATGTCTAATTTTTAACTTAAACAGCCAATTTTGTGAAATAAAGAGTAATATTGCAGAATTTGTCAACTAAAATATTATATCTACATGAAAAATATAACAAAAAAATAAATATAACAAAATATCACCTATTTTAAAGGAATGCTAAAATAAGTGTTGAATCAACTAACATCCATCAACATTTTTTAAATATTTTTCAATGAAATAAAAATCCAGATACATGTTACAAAACAAACAAAACCCCAAAATATTAATTTTTTAAGGCTAATCAGTGTAGTTTTTTTAACGGTTGGAGATAAAAATCTCTTAAGCATTCTCTTCAATAAAATTTTATTCTCTACAACCTCGACCGTTTTGTTGTAAATTTAACGGTTTTCGATGTTTTTAGATTAATTACAGAGAACTATACTCAAATGTTAAACTTGGCTTCAAATTTTATATAACTCATTTAAAAATAAATACTTTCATGAAAAATGTGTAATATTTTTTCAGGGCTGTAGAGATTTGAATGTCCCGGTATATTATTCTCCATGCTTAAAGTCCCTTCGGTCTTTAAGAAGATCAATGCGCAGGTTCGTAGACTTATTTCAGTACTCATACAGAGCTTCTAGTAATTTCATCTAATTTCGAAACTAAATTTGCGCGCGCAAAGGCTAACCAGTGTAGTTTTTTTAATTTATAATACTAAAGCGTGACAGTGTTGTCGCACTCGAAAATTCTGCTCAGCTAAAAACTTTTTTTCTACGTCTTTGAGGCAATTTTTTTAAATACTAGAGTAGAAAGGAGAGGCATTTATATGGCGTTGTCAACATTTCGAATCGATTGGGGGGCTGCCAGAGTCTTTATTTARACTTTTTACATGTGAGACACATTGACCGCGTAAAGGACACTTCTTAGAGATAGATTGTTTTTTTTTGACACATTATTGGTTGTTTAACATACCACGTGATTGTTTACGTAAAAAAATTTTACGCGAAAAAGTCAATGTGACATTTCTTGCTGTCACATCAAGTTGTTGTGTCACGCAAATTTATTTCAAAAGAAAAACTGTTTGTAATCCTTTTGTAATGGGTTGTGATTTATTTAAAAGTGATCAAGTTGGATGTGCAGTGTCTATTTTTGGTGTTTTGGTGAGTGCCGATGGAATTTTTAATAAATTGTTTGAGTACCAGTGTGGCCAGTGACGGGATAGCTGCCGTTTATGACGACGATACAATTTTCGATAAAAATTCACAGTATCTGATTTAAAATTGGTAGGTGGTGGTTTGTGAAACATTGTTCAAGACTCGAAAGCCCTCATATAAACGAAATTTCGCCAAAAAACGTTTTGT